AAATAACTACCGGGTAAGTTAATGTTGCATGCTTATGCACTAGAAAGTCAGGAAATGTCCTGATTAGGGTTGGAGTTAATGGCAACACTACAATAAAAGAAGAATAGAGCCTTCAATGAAAGCTACAGTGGAATAGAATTGGGATATGAAACTTGGGCCAAATCATATCCTTTTTGTAGTTTAGGCTGAACGCTCTCCAGAAGGAGGGTAAATCCCACTGCATAGGGTATTAGGAGTCTGGTACACCCTGCTTGAATGCTGGAAGCATTCAGTGACACACGCTACCTCATTATATTGTTGTATTGCCATCACTTAACATGTTGTTCAAAGCCCATGGCACTATCTCAACTTCTCGAGTTCCTATTCTGATGCATTTAAAATCCCTATGTTCAACCAGAACTCTACAGCTGTACATTTTAAAACATCATATTCGATTTATATTACATACATGGTTATCATGAAAAACCTTAAACCATTTCCTACAGTCATCCAAAAATAATAAATCAGAAAAAATATTATTCTCACATGACGTATACTTAATGTTTCTTCTCAACAGCCTCCTCATATTTTTGGATAGGGTTGGATACACTGTACTTTCAAGCCTATCTTTATCTCACTGCACATACAGAAAGCACACACTGGTTCCTGGAACTGAAAACAGCTGACAAAGGCTTGAAATAATAATGGACTTGAAGCAGCCTGAAAGTCAGTCAGGACTTAAATTCAATTTCTAAAGAAAACACAGATATAGGAAAATGCTAAAACATGTATATTTTTTCCCTTACTACATTTATAGAGGAAGGGATATATACCCGGGGGGGTGGGGGTGAGGGGAGGGGGAGAGAGAGAGAGAGAGAGAGACTGCAGTTTGATCCATCAGCAAAACATTAAAATCTCTTAACATCAACTCTACTTTAAGATGTGCCTTATAGGGCTCATAGCCCTATAAATACTGTGACAAACCCAGACCAGTGGGGTACAGGAGTCTGGTAGAGGGCAAATATACTAGTCACTGGATGAGTAGTTTTCTGTTCCCTGAGTGACCAGAGAAAGGGGCTGTACTAGAGTAATCAGGAACCTGCTAGAACCAGTTAAGGCAGGCAGGCTAATTAGAACACCTGGAGCCAATTAAGAGAAGCTGCTAGAATCAATTAAGGCAGGCTAATCAGGGCACCTGGGTTTTAAAAAGGAACTCACTTCAGTTTGTGGTGCGAGTGTGAGGAGCTGGGAGCAAGAGGCGCAAGGAGCTGAGAGGGAGAGGGTGAGGGGGTGGGTGTGGGTGGAGGACTGAGGAGCACAAGCATTATCAGACACCAGGAGGAAGGTCCTGTGGTGAGACTAAGGAAGGTGTTTGGATGGGGCCATGGGGAAGTAGCCCAGGGAGTTGTAGCTGTCATGCAGCTGTTACAGGAGGCACTATAGACAGCTGCTGTCCACAGGGCCCGGGGCTGGAACCTGGAGTAGAGGGCGGGCCCGGGTTCCCCCCAAACCTCCCAATTGACCTGGACTGTGGGTTCTCCCAGAGGGGAAGGTCTCTGGGCTGTTCCCCCAACCCACATGGTGAATCCCTGAGGCAAGAAAATCCGCCAATAAGCGCAGGAGCTACCAAGATAGAGGAGGAACTTTGTCACACTACTTAATGGCCAAGATTTTCATCCACACTTATACACAGCGGTATTTTATTTAGTTAAGTTTTTTTTAACCTGTCTAGATGGTCACCTGTAATAAGGCAAAAGGGTTGTATACCAATTTTCTTGGTACAATCACTGAAAAGCAAGCTTCATATACACATGCTGTGAACATCAGTATTATGGGTCTAATCCAAACAAAGCCCACCTAAATCAATGGAAAAACTTTCATTGACTTTGTTTTGCTTTGAATTAGGCCTATAACACATACAGCTTTCCCACATGAAAGTATAGAAGATGCACATAGGTTACCAGACAGCAAATGTGAAAAATCGGGATGGGGGTGGGGGGGTAATAGGAGCCCATATAACAAAGAGACCCCAAAATTGGGACTGTCCCTATAAAATCAGGACATCTGGTCACCCTAGACGCACACCAACAATTTGACCATTTTAACCCTCCTAAATCTGATGGCATTAGGATGTCCTGGGAATACATAAATACATTATTGGTTGTTGAAAAGCAGATGATGTGGATGGATGTGTTACTGCCACTCATTCAACCTGTGAATGTCAAATGACATTCCAACAAGGAGGAGGTACAGATAGCATGCTGCAAGCTCATATCGATGAGGCCACATCACACAGACAATGCCAAATGCAGGCATTAGAAAGCTGACTGGCCTAATACTAATAGATTATTACTCTGAAACCTTAGCACCACTGTATGGAATTACTATGCTCAAGTAAGGAAGACTCACTCTAATCCTAGAGGGAAATCCATGTTTCTCACTAATTTATTTTGCAAATTCTCTTGGATATTTCCTATATCCGAAATACTTATTCCCTGTAAAATCTCTAGAGCGAGAGGGCCAGATTGTCAGCTAGTGTTTATTAGTGGAGCTCCATGCCAGTGGATGGTGCTCCACCAATTAACACCAGCTGAGGATCAGATTTTTTCCCCACTGTATTTGTTTTCTTATTTTCTTTTCTATTTTTTCCTTAGTGTCATTCTGGCTAATTGCTTCTGTATAACTTTTCCTCAGAGCTGTAAAGAAAGGATCTTATTTAGTGTTCATGTATTATATTTCAGTTAATTAAGCAGCAGTTGATGGGATGACTAAATCAATTAACCATATAATAATTGTAATACATTTAAAATATTACTGGATCTAGCTGCTTTGTGATCACAACTACTAACATTGCCTGTGGGTTACCAATAATGATTTGGTTTTACATAAACTTGTACATGTTTTCACAAAGAAATAGATGTCAATGGTAACTGCCATCTTTCAACAACCACATCATCTGTAGCACTAAGGGGAATAGGTCCAGACTCCACAATTATAATAAATACATAGATTTGTTGGAGATTATTTCTTATTCGTCATACAATTGATTCTGGTCCTGTCTTCGAGTCTCTTATTTAAAGGGATACTTTCAACTCAAATGTACTATTTTAAATAATACCTAGCTCTTAAGCCATCTTTCTGTCTATTTATGTATTTAATTTGTATTTGGCTCCTCGGTGTGCGGTTTGTTTTTCTGTTGAGGGTTTTATGGAAGGTAAATGAACCAGGCTGATAACTGTAAAGACTCTTATAAACAGTTGCATGGGAGTATTTAAATGGAGCATCCGCCAAACATGCATTCTTCTTGAGTCTCCCTGTTTACCAAGAGGGGTTGCTGCTGGCGAAGCCATCGGGGTTGTACAGGTCCTCTCATATGAACAATCTCCCACCTACCCCAGCCCCTGAGAAGGAGGCACGGAGAAGCTGCAATTGGCTGGAACCCTTGTTTGGTGACTAATGAGGAGCAAACACAACCTGGAGCAACTGCCACTGCTTGCAACCTGGGCTTGCTTGTTAAATGAAAACCACTGCCTCTTCTGAGAGAGGGTGATTTTTAAATTGATGCTGTGAATGATATAGTTCTCCCCTCTCTCACCCACATACAGAGCTATGAAGCCTTTCCAACTCATTAGGACAAATTTTCAAAAACATCCTATAAAATTGTGTCTGGAATTTCAGAAGTTTTTTAATAGGGTTTAGCAACGTAGTCATAGGGTTTGACAAGGGAGGAGAGAAGAGAATGCACCTTGTAATGTTTAAATTTTCCAGCTCTCTCCTTTAACACTGCCTGATCATAGAGTCATAGAAATGAAGGGAGAGAAGGGACCTTGAGAAGTCATCAGGTCCAGCCCCCTCTGCCGAGGAAGAACCAAGTATACCTAGACCATTCCTGACAGGTGTTTGTCCAACCTGTTTTTTTTTTTAAAAAGCCAGTGATGGTGATTCCACAACCTCTCTTGGAAGCCTAGACCAGAGCTTTTCCCTAATATCTAACCTGAATCTCCCTTGCTGCAGATTAAGCCCATTATTTCTTGTTCTACCTTCAGTGGGGATGGAGAACAACTCATCACCATCCTTTTTATAACATCTCTTTACATATTTGAAGATTGTTAACAGGTCCCCCTTCAATCTTCTTTTCTTAAGACTAATCGTGCCCAGTTTTTTTTAACCTTTCCTGATAGGTCAGGGTTTCTAAACCTTTTATCATTTTTGTTGCTCTCCTCTGGACTCTCTTCAATTTATCCACATCTTTTCTAAAGTGTGGCACCCAGAAATGGAAACAGTACTCCAACTGAGGCCTTAGCAGTGCTGACCAGCATGGGGCAATTAGCTCCCATACTGTTAATACACCCAGAATGGTAGTAGTCATTTTCACGACTGTATCACATTGACGACTCATATTCCATTTGCAATCCACTGTAACCCCCAGATCTTTTTCAGCAGTACTACTGCCCATCCAGTTATTCCCAATTTTGTTGTTGTACATTTGATTTTTACTTCCTATGGGAAGCACTTTGCACTTGTCTTTACTGAATTTCATCTTGTTAAAAATGGTGTCATCTGCAAATGTTATAAGCATTCTCTCCACTCCATTATCCAAGTCATTAATGAAAATATTGAATAGTACCAGATCCACAGCAGACCCCTCTGAGATCCCCACTAGATACACCGTCCCAGTTTGACAGGAAACCATGGATAACTACTATTTGAGTACTGTCTTTCAGCCAGTTGTGCACTCCCCTTATAGTAAATTCATGTAGACCATATTTCTCTAGTTTGCTTATGAGAATGTCACATTGGACTGATGATGTATTTGCATGGAATCTATTCCACTGCTTTAAAAGTAACTCTCTTCCACAACATATAAAAACTCACTAACTCACTCACTGGGAGAACCATTATGAATAGCTAACCACTGCAAATTATTCAAACATGTTTGAATCCTTGATGTAGTAGGTTGGAGCAGATTTGTCAGTAAGATTCACTGCAGGAAACACAGCTTCTGAGTTCACTTACTATACCTCTTAAGATGTAGTTCTGATAGTTCTGGTCTGCCTCAGCTCCCACTTTTATCAAGCAAGTCAGGCCTTCAGCCACAACAAACTCATGAACCAAATCCTTGTCATCCTGCCAAAGAAGAGAAAGGGAGAGAAAACAGAGATACTACATTACAAATCTCAAAGACAAGGAAACATTTTTTGTCACAATAACATGAACTAAAATATATGGTCTGTGGTTTTTACTTTCTATTCAAATTAAATAATATGAACATACTCTTTTTCTATAAGTCAGAACTGGACCAAGAATTCTTCTATCAACCAAGCCAAGTATACTAGACGTCCAGTTGACTACGCTATGGCACTAAGGGTGTGAAATTTTTCATAGCCCAGGGCGACATAGCTAGGTCTATCTAATTTTTAGGTGTAGACGAGGCCTTTTAAAGGTATGTCTACACTACAATTAAACACCCACAGTTGGCCCATGTCAGCTGACTTGGTCTGCGGGGCTGTAAAATTGAAGTGTAGACTTCAGGGCGCGGTCTGGAGCCCAGACTCTGGGACCCTCCCCCCTCTTGTGCTCCAGTCTGAGCCCAAACATGTACACTGCAATTTTACAGCCCGATAGCCCAAGCCCCACAAGCGCAAGCCCAAGCCCATGGACATGACCATCTGAGGGTGTTCAATTGCAGTGTGGACATACCCTAAGAATCTGTGGCAATATCAGCAAGTATAGGCCACTTCAGTCTCTTGGCATAAATTCAACTGAAGTATTTATAGTAGTTGCCATAAAATATGGATATTTATTTCACTGTAATCATAGTATTTGTGATATTAATTAAACTAAGTGAGAAAATATAATAGTAAATTTAATGACTGAGGGTGGTTAAATTCCCCCTACATCTGTATGTAAAAGTCATAAAATTTCATGCAAAATGATTTTGTTTACTATAGGGGTATTTTTAATAACCATTCTTTGGAATTTACTAGACAAGTACATCTCTTTTATGAAATTTTGCTAGAGTACAAACTGAGTAGGGATTGCAGGATTTGACCCAACGTTTTCAGTTGGTTGGTTTTTTTTACATAGGACTATAATGTAGAGAAATGAGGATGTGACAGCATCCAGAAGAACTGTATGCACCAGGGTTAGATTTTTTCCCATTGAAGTTTATATCCATTTCTAAGACTAATAGCTTAGAAAGTTTTTCGCTTAAATAGTAGGAATTGAATGAAATCCTTTCCAAATTGTAAAAATGTACATAGTGCAAAAATCAGTGTCAAATACAGTAGCTGCCATTAAAAAGTCAACATTTACAGTTACCTCAGAGTAGTACTACATGACCTTAATATTTAAGTTCCTGGCACTTAAAAAGTCCTTCTACCCTGCAAAGAAGAATCTTTTCTCCAGGAAAGCATCAGAATTCACTTTGTCGGCCAAGTATAATTTCAAATGACATGATTTTACACATTTGGTATTATTAGCTTCATATTCACCTTTCATATATTACCTCTATGATGGTATATTGAGAAGATGACCAGGGGAAAAATAGTAACTTCGGCATCGCAGGTTCTTTTTGTTAACCATTAATTATTATGGCAACAAGTAATACTTGTTGATTTAGGGAACAATATCCATAATTGTGAGAATAATTAACTACATCTGTGTCATTCTGGTTAATAAAATACCACTCCTGGACTGTGGTTAACAATTTGCCATTAGTTACATTTGCTTGTGGTGATTTATGCAAGTCATTTCTTGGACCACCAGTCTCTTATGCAGCACAATCTGGTGATTACAGTACTTCAGCTGCTGAAGAGGGCAGTGCAGGTATTTAGAACACCCATGCCAACAGAATAGAGAGAAACATGTATATAAAAGAAAAGGCAGCCATTCAAAAACATGCCTAAACTTACAGAAAGCTGCTGGACAGTTAATTAAGCAGCAGTTGATGGGATGACTAAATCAATTAACCAGATAAGCATTAATAAATGTAAAATATTACTGGATCTAGCTGCTTTGTGATCACAGATACTAACATTGCCTGTGGATTACCAATAATGATTTGGTTTTACATAAACTTGTACATGTTTTCACAAAGAAATAGATGTCAATGGTAACTGCCATCTTTTAAATACTGTAGCACTAAGGGGAATCGGTCCAGACTCCACAATTATAATAAATACATAGATTCGTTGGAGATTATTTGTCATACAATTGATGGTGCTCACTGAGTTAGAAAACTGCAAAGAATAAAGTGTAGTTTATGTTGACAATGCACTTATTAGGCTCTGAATTTTATACATTTGCTAGAGTGAAGAGTTAAATAATTTTAATAATTTGTTAGAACAGATATATCTTCAAGCCATAAAGCATTCTGAGGGAAATTTATGCAACGGCAAATCTTAGGTCGGCTGGAAATGCTGGGGAAGGATTTGATTACTGAGTAATGCAGGAAGAGGTGAAAGATGTCCATCAAAATTTTTACCCCCAGCTAAGAATTATTTATCCTTCCTATTGAAAAGAATAAGAAGGAGAAGCCAACTCAAGTCAAGCTCATCCTTTAGTTCCCCCCCATAAACCTATGGTAAATAAAATAAAACAGATTAAGAAATATGCATTAGACTTTGGTTTAGAACTCTACTTTTCTATAGATTTATATTTTTTTCTTAAACATTAATGAAACACTGGTAAATATATTGTTTTAAGATTCACAATCCCTAGAAACCATCATACAGAGTCCACAATTTAATAGTTTAAATTGAAAGTGCAAATAGAAGATTTGATGAAGGGGACATAAACTTGCTCTATTTTGTTGATGTTCAAAGTTTTATAATGTGATTCTACCTCTGTGTTCAGCTCCATGGTAATGGTTGTATCAATAGTATAGAAAGGGACCAGACAGAAAGCGGGATCACAGAGTACACAGAGAAGTCTGTTTGATAATATTGCATATATTTATTATAGTCTGACTCCTCTTGCTGAATAAAACAGGCTAGATTTTGGCTGAGATGCACACATACAGGCTTGTCATAGCTCCATTGGAGTCAATGGAATTAAGACAATTTTCAACAGCTGAGGATCTGGCTCTGACACTTTGGGCCAGATCATGGCCTATGGTAAACCCACTTTGTATTTCTCCAAAAGCGCAAAGGGGAATTAAAGCTGCCCTACCTGGGCATCTGAGGATTTGCTGGTGTGGGGGAATTCTTGGCTGACACAGAGTCAATATAGGAGGCTCTACTCCACCTACCGCCAGGCCCCTGACATAAAGGGCATGCCCAGGTATGCTCTGAGGCCTGTGGCCAGAGCATGCTGAGCTCTAGCAATCCTTGACTAGTGAAATGCTCTTGGAATCTATTACAAGTTGCACAACTAAGAGGATTGAGCTCTTCAATTCCAAGTCAATCTATCTCATGCTAATTTGTATAAAACCTGTTGTCAAAATTTGCATTTTAAGGCAAAGTTCCAAAACTAACATTTTGCAGCAGCTGTTATACCATCAAAATACCCCGTCATAATCCATACATTTTTCAGGTGACTGAAAAAATGATGCAAGACAAAATGCATTCTAGACCTAAATCCATACCATTCCGGAATGTCTTGCAAAAGTCAGGAACATATCTCCGACAATTAAGCAAAAACAAAAACTTTTTTCCGTAAGTCCGGATTTCTGTAAATTGGGTTTGCATAACCCGGGGAGCATCTGTAATACCAATCTCACAAATAGCCAAATGTGCCAGTCTGTACAGATTTCAGAGTAGCAGCCGTGTTAGTCTGTATCCACAAAAAGAAGAACAGGAGGACTTGTGGCACCTTAGAGACTAACAAATTTATTAGAGCATAAGCTTTCGTGGACTACAGCCCACTTCTTTGGATGCATATATGTTAGTCTCTAAGGTGCCACAAGTACTCCTGTTCTTCTTTTAGTCTGTACAGAACAATTGTATATACAGAACAACTATATTACAAATGCTAAAGATCTACACTAAACTGAAAAGGACTACATTTTGCTCACTGTAGTCACATATTGTCCCATTAATGTCACACGAACAGTCCCATTAAACTTACTTGCTTGAGTAAGAAGAAAAGGATTCATGCAACATAAAATAAAAATGTAGATCTAAAGCTGCCATTTTGCCCACAAGTCACTTCATAATGCCCATGGCACTCTGTGGTCTCAAGTCAGTGAATGATCTTCTGTACTAATGCAACAGAAGTATAAAACTTGGAATCAATGTGCCAAATTCCTCCTAGGTTTAACTCCAGTGAAGCCAACAGAGTTACATTAGTGATGAAAATGATCCAATGTGACAAAGTGAAGCTGGAACACCATCACGTGGGCACATATCATTTGCACTACAATTTCTTTTGCAAAATCATACACAAGTTTTACAATACTAGTTGTCTCAGCAGCCAAAAGTCTGCTAGATGCCTCCCAATACACCCAAAAGACATGGTCCCTGCCCCGAAGTAGCTTACAAGCAATATTATGTTCTGTGTTTGTACAGCACCTAGCACAATGGAATCCTGGTCTATGTTTGGGGCTCCTAGGCAATACCACATTACAAATAAACAATAAGACAGACATAAATAGGGTGTGACACTGGCAGACCAGCCAACCTTTGTATGACCCATAACAACTTAACAAGAGGCATTTGTATCAAAACAATTCACATGTATGTGAATTTCAAAGAGATGTACTAGACTAGCAATCATCAACTCATTCGTTTCTAGTAATAGAAGTCAAGGGTAGATGCTAAGTGTACTTATTTATTTATCTATACCTCAGGGATGGCCTGAGCCTGAGAAGGAGCCAGAATTTACCACTGTACATTGAAAAAGAGCCACAGTAATACGTAAGCAGCCCCCGCATCAGTTTCCCTCCCCCACCCCACTCCCTGCACCTCCCACCCACTGGCAGCCCCGCCCATCAGCGCCTCCCCCTCCCTCCCCGCACTTCCCGATCAGCTGTTTAGTGGTGTGCAGGAGACTCTGGGGGAGAGGGGGGAGGAGCGAGGGCACAGCAGGCTTAGGGGAGGGGATGGGATGGAAAGGGGTGGAGTGGGGGCAGGGCCTGTGGTAGAGCCAGGGGTTGAGCAGTGAGCACCCCCCGGCACATTGCAAAG